GGAAGCCAATTTGCGGGATTCTTCAAGTCACTGATTCTACATTTGGACCTTGCATTACAGATTACAGCATAATAGTGCGTAAAGCGAAGTTATTATTGTAAGTGCACTTTTCCTTCAGATATTCTCTGCTTCATATCGAATGCCATTTACAAAATTCAATGTTGGCAACCCTTCTTTAGGTTCCTTTCCCATGTGTTGGGAAATGGATATCTTGGGTTCATTTTGATATACATAATTATGGATGTATATGTATATATCTCTTAATAAGGTTAGGTATCTAAAGATAGAGACCAAGTTACTTGATCATCAAGTTATCATACCATAATTATCTCATCTAATTGTGTGATTGTCCTCTATATATAGAAGTACTTCTTGATGTAAAGATTCATCCAAAATAGTGAAGATGTAGCCGGTTGGGCTTTGGATCCATAGACGTACGGCTTCGGCCTGAACCACATAAATGTTGTGTTCTATCTCTATTTTTCATTCACATGCTCCCACAAATTCTAGCATGGTATCAGAGCACAATTCCCTCCGAGGACCCATCGATTTGATCTCGTTGGTGGTGCTATTGTCTTCTTTGCAGAGAGCCAATTGTCTATCTCCAATGAAGAAATTGGCGCAACTTTGTGAATACGAGGAATAAGATCTAGAGAGAGAAACAATCTCCAAGGGGCACCTCTCTGTTATATGAACCCCCTCGAGCCTTACCCCTCGAGCCTTACCCCCACCCGAAGCTTCCTGGGCGCCATCTCCAATAGGTACAGGGGAACGAACTGATTTGCAAATACGATTCCAATACCAACAAGGATGCAGCCTGTGATAAGCATGGCTACATCTTTTAGCTGCGCCATTACTGGTGGCTCCAACCAAAAACGTAAACGCCACTGAAGAGCATTGAAGGCTTCTAATCAAACCTACGAGTGACCCACATAAAAAGGAGGTCTAATGAAGCATGCCTCTTCGTGGCAAGGAAATACTACAAAGCCTCTTCGTGCCAAGGAAATACTGCAAATCCTTTCCAGCTGTAAGATGTCGATATACATGCTGAACAGAGGGCCCAGTAGCCCCTGTCATAGACTCCCTAAAAGTAGGCAATTTCGAATCTTTCAATGAATCACCACGATTCTCCTTCTGCAAAGAAGACGACAATGAAGCAGCTCGTTTGACCCAATCCAAGCACTGTGTGAGGAACAACATCGACGTACAGCTCCATTACAATATGACTAGAAGATCTTTCCATACAAAGACACATAATCAGATCAAATTAGAACTCACCAACCAAGCACCGAAGAAGAAGGCCAATGCCGGCAACCCTGCAATCACCCAGCTAGAGCACGACAAACCCCACTCAGAAACCGTCGAGGCCGACGCACCCCTATTCCAGGCCCACATATCTGTTCCGATCTCACACACAGAAACGACTCCGCCACACCCACTTGGGCTCGTGCAGTGCCAAGTGGGCTCAGCATCAGCCCACTTTTGATTTGCTCCGGTCCACCCATGGAGAGAAGAAGAAGAAATCTCACCATGATAGCTCAAGTGATGAAAAGAGGTTGAAGAAGAGATCAAGAAGGAAAAGGCCACGTCATTCATCAGAGGAATCTTTATCGTCTCTCTTTCTGGAAGTGATGGAGAGAGCTCCACTGATGAGAGAGAAAATAATCATAAGAAAAGTAGAAGAGGTTTTGAGGCTAGAGAAGGTGCATATACATCCGATGATAGCAGGGAAATTCTCTCTCTAGAAGAAGAGAGGACTACGATATCGCGGCCATTAAGTTCCGAGGTGTCTCCACTGTCACAAATATCGACATTAGCAAATATGATGTCAAGAGAATATGCTCAAGCACGACGCTGATCGGTGGTGATCTCGCAAAGAAAAAAAAAAAACAGAAAAAGAAAATGAAGAAGTAGAGAAGAAGAAAAAAAAAAAAAAGGTGGTATTTTTTTTAAGATGTGGGCTATTGTCTAAAAGCCCAATTTCATTGACATTTTTTTTATATATGATTGTACTCGAAAGAAAAAAAAAAATTGTATTTTGCAAGTTGGGTATTTCTTCGCATGCATACCCAACTTGAGGGGGAGAGTATAGGAGATATGGAGATGAGATGAGTAGAGATGAAGTCAAACTCTCTAATGTAACCGCTATGTGAACAAGAAAATCCAAATTTTGGCTCAATCCAACTACTATGCAAAGTGAAGTTATGGTTATATTGATTCAAGAGTTCCAGTCTCCAGATGAAAATGATTGAATTTCTCCACCATGGTTGATGATCAAGTTTTCCGTTACTTGATCCCGTTTGATGATGGAGTTTTCCGTTACTCAATCTTGTGTGCCAATCGAATTTCTCGATCCTAGTTGATGATCAAGTTTTTCGTTCTTTAATCTTGTTTGATGATGGAGTTTCCCGTTGCTACATCCTGTGATCTTCTAAAGAAGAGAGAAAGAAAAATCCATTTCTTTTAGAGAGAGAAAGCCTCTAGAAAGAAAAGAAGCCTTTGAAGAGAGAGATCTTCAGAGAAGCCTCTGAAGAGAGAGATCTTCAGAGTAGTCTTTGAAGAGAGAAAATCTCTAGAGAAGAAAGTAGAGAGCCCCAGAAAGGTTATTTCTTGGAAGACCCTAGAGAGAGAAAGTCTCTAGCAGAGAAGCCTCTGAAGAGATAGACCTTCAGAGAAGCCTCTGAAGAGAGAAGATCTTCAGAGAAGAAAGTAGAGAGCCAAAGAAATGTTGTTTTTTGGAAGACCCTAGAGAGAGAAAGTCTCTAAAAGAAAGTAGAGAGCCCAAGAAAGGTTGTTTCTTGGAAGACCATGGTAACATGTGATTTTTTTTTTTTTGGCAACTTAGTATTGTTCAAACTCGAGCTGCTTTGTGTCAAAGCATCTTGAGTTTGAAGGGGAGTGTTGGGACATGGATATCTTGGGTTCATATTGATATACATAATTATGGATGTATATGTATATATCTCTCGATAAGGTTAGGTATCTAGAAGATAGAGACCAAGTTACTTGATCATCAAGTTATCATACTATAATTATCTCTTTTAATTGTGTGATTGTCCTCTACATATAGAGGTACTTCTTGATGTAAAGATTCATCCAAAATAGTAAAGATGTAGCCAGTTGGGCTTTTGATCCGTAGATGTAAGGCTTCGGCTTGACCCACGTAAATGTTGTGTTCTTTTCTTCTCTCTCCATTTTTCATTCATATGCTCCCACAAATTCTAACACCATGTTTGATTTAAACTAATCAAACTGCCTATCTGAAAGGATTATAAGAGTGCTTAAACTCCCCATTATTGAAAATAAGAAAAGAAAGGATCAATTAGCTATAATAATGAAACAGTTGTAAGTGAGAAACTGCCCAAATTGGATTTCAAATGGTCGGATTCATAAGGCGCTCTTTGCTTCGAACATTCCCTTGTTCATATTGGATATCTTTTATAAAATGCGATCCCGGCATGGCATCTTCAACTTCCCTTCCCAACATCAATAGAGATGGTCAAAGTGCTTAAGTGATCATCAAACTCTTTTGCAATATAACTCCCCCCTACTTCTTACCACCCAATGAAGCCTTTTTGGGGTACTTGGTTATCCTTCACATGCTCAAGTAATGCGAGCCCCTTCTTACAATTTCTGATAGGAAACCTAGAATTGTGCTGATTTTCTAAAAAATTAAAGGTCGGCCTTTATTTATAGATTGGTAAGATTTGAACCTTAGATATTATGTTGTGTTCCTTAGCTAGGTGATTTGAACCTTGGATATTATGTTGCAGTCCTCAGCCACCTAGCCCGGAGCCTGAACATAGAAAATATTGTTCTGTTACTTAGAACGTATTCATCCATCTGCTAATCGTGCTCATGCACACACACACAAACAAATATTTACAGAAGTTAGAGTATAATTATGGTTTTCATGAAAATTCATGCACAAATATTTACTGAAAGAGTAACATAAATCCTATTGATAATGCAAAAGCCATGAAACTGGTGATCTCCATCCTCAATGATCTAGAAACTATTACAGGGGTGGATAACATGTATTCCATCCCAGTCCATCATTTCCCTAAATGATTTTCAAAAGACATGCTTTTTGCGTGTTTAGTGCATCTAAATATTCACCACATCATGAATCTACCAATAATTAGTGAACATCATAAATTTAGTAGAAATAAGAGAAAAATACAAAAAAAAAAAAAAACTAAGCTTTCTCAATATACATTAGAAAGGAACTGAACTGGTTTTTTTAGCTGTAGCTAAGAAATAGACTTCATAATTTGGAGATATGAGCCATAGACAAGGTTATACATAATGATAGACAAGGTTATACATAATGATTTCATCGATAAAATGTCTATCTTCTTTCTTTAACTTTTTACAAATTACAAAAATTATGGTTTCCCTCATTTCTAATTGGACATATATCAGCCTGGAAAGTTTTTATATAAGGGTGAGGCTCTAAACAATCAAATTAAGGCGCATCTCAAAAATTTCACTAGAAGAGGTTGTGTTGATGCCCAAAAATCCTCAAATTCATTTCAACCTCAATATGCATGCACATGAAAAAAAATGGATTTCAAGTCTTGAAAATAATGCATCTTGTAATGCATTTTCGGATTGTCAATTTTCAAGATTTTCAATTGCTCATAGATCTGCTTGATCTACACTATTTTAGAAGCTTTAAATTTTGTAATTAGAGATGTAAATAAATATTTAGGCCTTCACAAATATTTGTTGTATTGAAACATCATCTTTTGACACTATTTAAAGGTGTACCTTACTTTGATTGTTTAGGTCCTCGGCCTTGTACAAACCACACCCTAAGAACATTGAGATGTGTTGTTGCTTTAAATATTTTCCACTTACTCCATAATGAATTAAAAGAGCTTTTCTTTCCATTCTTGCATTGCCTCTTACATCAGTTACCATATTTTATTGTTTGGATCCCTTGAATCTATACTCTACCCATAAATTAGAAAAAAAAAAAAAAAAAACATAGATATGGCCATTTTATTTGCATGATATCCTCTTATTTCACAGTAAGAGAGCGAGAGAGAGAGGGCCATTATTGAGGAAGTCCAGAGACCATAGGCAAAGCGCCTGAGAGCATCATCCTTCTCACATGGTTGCAGCTCAGTATCTCAATCTGCTTAACCACCTCCCTGAAATCAGCCCATGGGTCGTCCCCCACGACTATGATCTCCCCATCATAGTCCCTATAGATCATCATCCAGTTTTTGTTGGCCCCCCTCATCTCACCCTTTATCTCGAACCAGTTCTCCAGAACAGTAATAAGTTCATCATAGCTGTCCAATAGGCTGAGATCTATGGCCCTCCCCACAGCTTTCCCTTCCATGAGGACCTTTGTGCAAGTCCTTCTAAACAGTTGCTGCTTGTCTGGTCCCTCGATGGAGGACTCGCAGTCCTCAACATCTGCAACTGCCATTGATCACAATTTTTCTCTATGAAACCACAAAACCACCAATGGAAACCCTAAAACCACCAATGTTTAACTGATAATATGAGCTCTAATGGGGCGATTATAGAGCTTGAACCAACCCCATTTTTTGATAAGCCCAGCGGTTTGGTGGGTTAAAAAAATTGAAATTTATGAGATTTCTATCTATTTTGAGCACCCCAAACCGCCCATGACGAAACCAGACCACAGATTTCCGTTGCCATTGAAACCCACCTTCATTAATGACCTAAAACCACTTATTTGTTGATAAAAATCTTTGATAAGTGGTTTCATTGCAAATGTTGGAGTAAATTGGCAAGCGTGAGCATTGGCCTTCTCTCTCTTTCTGCTTTCTACTTTCTCTCTCTCTCTCTCTCTATGTTATGCATGCAACGTATTTTAGGCAAGTCTACCCACGCGTGCATCAGAGAATCAAACTGAATAACACAATGTGTCACAAATATCATTAGATTCGGAATGTACTCCGGAGGTTAACTGAATAGTTTTTTGTTTTGTGGAAATCGAAATTTCCCTTTATATGTTAAATTTATGTATTATTTTATGTGAAATAAAACTGATTTATTGGTTTGTTGTAAGGTGTTAATTTTAAGGTGTTGAATTGGCATTAATCTCTTGGTAATTTTCTGTATGATCATTGCTTAATGTAAATCAAGACTATTCTTAAAAGCAGTCTTTTTGGAACTAGACACTAATTTTTAAAAATATTTGGTCTAATTCTTTTAGATGTCTATCTGTTCATCAAACTAGTTGGATTGATTAAAAGAATGCGCAAAATAATTTGAATACACATGAAATTTTTTTGAGATTAGATTTTTTATTGGACCGAGCAAGTTTGGGATCTAGAGTTAGTTAGAAATATAGAAGCATAATGGGCTCAAAAATATTTTACTATTATGAAAACAAGTGGGGTTACAAGGGAGCAATATGGTATTTAAAGACCACAAGTATATTTTGAACTCTATTTTTCTTTTACTACTCTCTCACACATATGGGGCTTGGAAGACTTTTTCTATTTTACACCGAATGGATAGGGACAACTTCTTGGGGAGCTCTCTCTTTCACACGAATAGATAGATAACACACCTTTAAGCCCTTTTTTATAAGCTTGTTTATGACAGGGGAGAGAATACTAGGTTGACGGTGATAGAAAGATCTAGAGAGAGAATGAATGACAGAGAATACTAGATTGGCTATGATAGAAAGATCTAAAGAGAGAATGAATGACAGTGGAGAGATGGAGAGGAATGTAGAATTTTCTAGAGAGAGAGAGAGACAAATTATACAATTTAACATCCCCCTTTAATTTGTCAATCTCATTTTTTCTTTGAGCTTCATAAATTTGTCTGTTGAAAGCGACTTTGTAAAAATATCTGCAAGCTGGTCATTTATGCTGATGAACTTGAGCTTGATCTCCCCTTTCTCGACCAAGTCTCTAATGAAATGGTGGTGAAGCTCTATATGCTTTGTCCTGTCATGAAATATTGGATTCTTCATTATAGCAATAGTTGACATGTTATCACAATAAATTGTTGTTGGATCATTTTGCTCATGATTTAGGTCATGTAGAATTCTTCTCAACCAAACTGCTTCGCACGCAGTGCTAGTAGCTTAAATATATTCCGCTTCTGCAGATGATAGGGTAACCGTTTTTTTCTTTCTTGATGACCAAGATATAACTTTAGATACCAATCAGAATACATATCCTGAAGTGCGTTTTCAATCATCTAACGATCCCGCCCAATCACTTTCTGTGTAGCCAACCAGGTTGTTGCCTTTTTCTGTAGTATACTTGAGACCAAAGCCCTTAGTTCCTTGAACATATTGTAAAATTCTCTTGCCTGCTACAAAATGCAACTTGCTTGGTTTGCTCATAAATCTGAAGACAATACTAACTGCATTAACAATATATTGTCTTGTGTTTGTGAGATAGATGTGTGAGCCAACAAGACTTCTATAAGAGGATGCATCCACTTCTTGTGCTCCATCATTTTGTGTCAAATTTTCATTTGGAGTCATGGGAATAGCCACCGGTTTGTATTTCGTCATACCAAACTTTTTCAAGAGATCTTCTATAAATTTTTCTTAGGAAATAATAATTTCTCCATTTGATTGTTTTACTTGAATCCAGAGAAAATATCTCATGACGCCCAAATCCGTCATTTCAAATTCTTTTATCATCTTTTGGTTAGTACCAGTATAAATCAAATCATCAACATAAAGACAGACTATTAGAAAATCATACGTACCTTTGTTTTTTACATAGAGTGACGGTTCACTGGGACTTCTCTCAAATCCTTCTTGGCAAAAGTACCTATCAATCCTACTTTTCTATCCTGGTGGTGTTGCTTTAATCCATATAAGGTATTTTTAAGTCGATATACTTTATTTTCTTTTCTTTGTTTTACATATCTTTAAGGTTGTTCAACATACACTTCTTCTTCAAGTTCTCCATTTAAAAATGCTGATTTTACATCTAACTAAAATACTAGCAACCTCATTTGTGCAGCAAATGCCAAGACAATTCTAATAGTTTCCATTCGTGCAATTGGGGCAAAATTTTCAGTATAGTAAATACCTGGTTGTTGAGCATAGCCTTTTGCCACCAACCGGGCTTTGTGTTTTTTAATTGAGCCATCTTCATTATATTTTGTCTTGTAGACGCATTTTAGTCTTATGACTTCTTTGTTCTCGGGTCGGTCCATTAGCTCCCAAGTTTGATTTTTCTCTATTACTACAATTTCTTCATCCATGGCTTTTATCCATTCTTCTTTTCTTATGGCTTCTTCAAATTTTTCTAGCTCACTAGCAAAAAAAAGGCAATATCACATGATTCATAAATTTCTCTTAGTGAACATACCTTTCCTAGTGGTGTCTCTGAGTCTGATGTTTCTTGACTTGGTGCCCCTGGAGATGGTGTTCTTGGGCTTGATATCGAGCTTGGTAGTTGAGAGCTTGTTCTTTCTTGTGGAGTATTTTCTTCTTATTTTATTTTTGCTATTGGTTCTTGGCTAGATTTTTCTTCCCATTTCCATTCACTTTTCTCATCAAATACAACGTCTCTAGAAATTACCAATTTATTTGTTTTTGGATTGAAAAGGCGATATGCTTTTGAAACTTCACTATATCCAATAAAGATATACTTTTTGCCTTTTTCATCAAATTTTCCTATATTTTGGGAAGTTTTTTTTCCATAAGCAATACAGCCAAAACCTTGAAATAATTTATGTTTGATTTTCTTTTATACCAAGCCTCAAAAGGTATTCTATTTTGAAAAGAGTTAGTAGGAGACCTATTAAGAATATAGACATCAGTATAAACAGCTTCGACCCAAAATTTATTGGGAAGATGCTTACCTTTTAACATACTTCGGGCCATTTCAATAATTGTCATATTTCTTCTTTCTACTACTCCATTTGGTTGTAGAGTATATGTTGCTGTCAACTCTCTTCTAATTCCATTCTTTTTGCAAAAATTCCAAAAGTCTATTGATGTGAATTCTCCTCTTCTATCTGTCCTAAAGGCTTTTAATGGAAAACCACTTTGTTTTTCTACATCAGTTTTAAACTGAGCAAAAACTGAAAAATGCTTCTGATTTTTTGGCGAAGACATATACCCACATCATCCTATTGTAATCATCAACAATTAAGAGAAAATACTTTTTTTTTATTAAAGGTTTATATTTGAGTTGTTCCACATATATCAGCATGAACCAATTCCAATGGAGCTCTAGCTCTCCAAGATGATTCTGAATATGGTAATTTGTCTAATTTTCCATAAATGCAACTTTCACATATTTTCTTTTCTTCATTTATTGGTGGTAATCCAATAACCATACCTTTTTGGCCCATCAATTTTAAACTTTGAAAATTTAAGTGCCCTAATCTTAGATTCCATAGGTAGGATTTATCAATATTTTCAAAACTCAAGACATAATTTTTACATGTTGGCATGACCATAGGAAACACCTCATTTGGGGTCTTTTTATCTTGGCTATGGTTTGTCTAATTTTCTTATAAAAAATTATACATTCATATCTATTGAAATTGATTGAATACCCATTTTTCATCAATTGCCCGACACGTAAAAGGTTTTGTGTCAAGCCAGGAACATAAAGAACATCATGAATAAATTTAGGGCAACCTCCTTTAGGTTTTCCGCCTTCAATATTTTGGAGTTTTCCATCTCCTAGCTTGATTTGTGAAGTGACTTTTTCATTTATTTCAACAAAACTGCTCTTATTTCCTGTCATATGATTGCTACAGCCATTATCCAGGTACCAAACATCTTGTGAATTTTGTTGGGCATTCATGCATGAATAGAACATATGACATGTATTATTATCTTCAGAAAAATTCACTTTACTTTTCTGAATTTGATTTTTCTTTTGAAACCAGCAATCCCTTTGAGAATGATTTGGGATTCTGCATTTTTGACATTTATATCGACAATTCTTTGATTCATGCCTTGATTTTTTACAAATAATACAATAAGATTCAGATCTATTTTTTTTACCTGAAATTCTTTGGCTGTTCATATTTCTTCCTCTTCCTCTTTCTTGGACTCTTGAAAAATTTTGTCTTCCATGAACTCTTTGATAATTTTGAAATGTCCCGCTATCTCTTTTTTTTCAAAATTTTTCTTTTCAGAAATTGTAACCTTTGACTGAAAAGCTTGTTCCATATTCTGATTTGAAAATCTATTTATCCTTTGTTCTTGTGCTTCCAAAGAGCCACTTAATTCTTGTAAAGATAATTTAGATCAATCTTTTGATTCTTCTATAGCAACCACAACATGGTCAAATTTTGCAGGTAGGCATCTTAAAAAAATTTGAACTATTTTTTTATCAGAAATATCTTCCCCATAACATCTTATCTAATTTATTATTCCTGTAACTCTTGTGACGAAATTATGAACTGTTTCACCATCTTTCACTATCAAATTATCAAAATCTCTCCATAAATTTTGGAGTTTGATAGAAATTATTTTTTCAGATACTTGAAATTCATTTTTCAAAATTTCTCATGCTTCTCATGATTTTGAAGCTATTTTTATTCGAGGAAAGATAGCTTTACTTACCGCTTGTTGGATGAAGAGTAGGGCTTTTACATCTCTCTTTTTGTTTTCCTTGTACTCGTTTGGCCTTGCCTACGACCATGATTCCAGCACTACTACATTTTCTGGCACTGAATAGCCTTATTCCATAATGTCCCACAAATCTTATGAGATAAAAAGAGTCTTCATTTGGAAACTCCATGACTCATAGTCTTCTCCATCTAAAATAGGAATTAGGTTTTGGGTATAATTCATACCCGAAGTGGACGCCATAGG